AGCCCAGTCCCGGCGCCTCCGCCTCGGCCTCCGCCTGATCCCGGGCCGCCTTGGCCGCCCGCAGAGCCATGCGGATCCGAACCGAGAAACCTCTCCTTACCGGCAACTGAGGCACGGACTTCACTTCCCACCTTTGGAGCCCTCTTCAACTCCCGGATCAATTCACTCCGGCGACGCCGGAAGGACCCGAGAGGAACCAGGCGTTGTCCGGAATCCAGCCCAGCAGGAGCCGCGCAAGGCCCGATGGGGATTCGTAGTTCCGCCCGCCGTTTCCGTCAGCACTTCCTGACATCCGAGGACCACATTTCCCAGAAGGGCAAGCGAGAACGCCTAGGGCGATGGGTGGGGACTCGGCTAGCAAATCAGAACAGAGTTCCCTGCCTTTACGAGAGGAAGGGAGACCGAGAGAGGGAGAGCGCCCAGAAACGGAGGAAGGGCGGGGCCGACTCTCACCTGAACCAATCCGAATGCAAAGCCGGCCCTCGGACGCCACGCCCACCGATGGGCGGGGCTCGTGGATGGGTGGAAAGGAAAAGGGCGGGGGACCGAGGTGGCGGAGCAACCGGCAGCCGGGCTGGGTGCCTGGGTGGGCGGCCGAGGAAACCTCTGGGGACCGGAGGGGTGGAGGAAGGAGGGTGAGAAGTGGGCTCGGCTGGGGCCGGAGCAGCACGATCGCCCCCCCAGGACAGCCCACCCGGTGTGCACCGGACCAGCCGGTGAGAGGGCTGAGCTGGACCTGAGAAAGCGAGCGCCAGGTGCGACGCCGGGTTGGGAAGCGGGGGGGAAGCGGCCCGAGAAGCCGCCGCTGAGAGACCCTCGCTTCGCGCCGCCTGCAGCCCGGGCTGCGCAAACGGCGGAGGGAGGAGCCGGAGCTCGAGGTTCGGCCAACTAGACGAGGGGAAGGCGGAGCTTGAGTCTCAGGAGGAGCCTGGGCTCAGCCTGCTCGGTAGTTTCCCCGGAGAGAGGCAGGAGCAGCATCCCGAGCGATCGCAGCCCCGCCGAGCATCCTCTCCAGCATCCCGAGCCCGGGATTGCACGGGTGCGGGAGGTAAGCGTGGGTGCCCCTGACCGGCGCCGGGCACACCGCCCCGGGGTGAAAGGCATCTGACAATAGGAACACCAGGGCAGAGCTGGAAAAGTGCTATGTTGGTTTAAGATAGCGGTGCAAACCCTTTCAGGGGGAAACGATGTACAATTTTGGAGTTTCGTAGGGAGAAAAAAAAAAGCCAAAGATAACTCCGTCTGAGCTATTAAGGGCGCGGTTAGTGGTTTTGTTTTGAGTTGCACCATTAAAACTGCTCTGGGAGATCGCAAGATTGGAGAAAGCCCTGTTAATTGAGAAGCAGGTGAACGGCGCCTAGGTAGGTGCGTAGTTGGTAAAAAGGCAAAAAATGCCATTGATATAGAATGGCTTCGGAACTATTTCACTAGGAAAACAACTTTATTCTCTTCAGTACGTGCCGCTTGTGTTGGCTTATCAGATTGTTCTGCTACGGACCTGTTATCCAGGGCGATTGTATTTCAGGTTCCTGGGATTGCAAAAGATCTGGATTACAGAAGCCAATAATGAGACAGAATGGGTTCGGGTTGAGCCTATCATTAGTGTAACTTTTACCGCAATAATGAGAAAATAAATTTAAATAGGCGGTTAGTTCGCTTTCCTTGCTGCTGGCGCTGGAATATTGAAACAAAGACCTGGATTCAGCCTACAACAGGAACATATGGTGTACTTCATCGCTGCTGCTTATTCTCTCGTTTGTGTCCGGCAACGTTTGTTGGTCTTTTTAAAACAGGAGTCCAAGCGAAGCTGTGTGGAGGAGCTTTCCTCTGTTGGAGAGAGCAGGTGTAAAATGATAACTTTTAGTATGTTATACTGGGTTCCGACTTCAGAGATATATCATATCATATAATAATAGTTCATTCTCATCATGTGTATACTTTTTGAAATGCAAGTATAATAAATATGGGTGGAATTATGCAGTAATCCTTGGTGAAGGTAATAGTCGTCCCTACCTCTGTGTAACTAGGACAGATTACAGCCTTTTTCATTTGAAAAAGTAATAAGAGTCTGTCATCTTAGTTCATTTTTTTTTTGTCGTTACACAGTGCCCCAGATTAAAAATCTATTAATCGCAGTGCCATATTGCAGCATATTCTGCTCTAAGATGCCTTTATTGTGACAGTTGATTGCTCCATGGGGTGCCAGAATACTTTAGATTTTTTTTTGTTTTAAGAATGGTCAATAAGGTCCAGTAACGACCTTCTTTTTTCTTCTGCTGTCGTGCTATTCTGATTTTCTTTAGGATTTGGAATTCTGTTTTTGTGATGCACACAAAATGAAAATGAAGTGGCTCAAAGGTATTCTCTCGGTGGTTTAGGCTTCAGTCCTGCAGAGTGCTGGTACTAATGAGAAATCTACATCACTAAGTTAATTTAATCCTTCCCTCCCACATTCTCACATGCCAAAGAACTGTAGGCACAGAAAAAAAAATCTTAAATAAAAATAAACACCAACAAAAATATCTAGGTTTAGACTGAGCAGATCAGGTAAGTATGAGAAGAAGCAAAGTGCTTGTAGGACAGCAAAAGCTGCAGAAGCCACTGAACTTTGCAGCCACAGTCTGCTGGATGCTGTCTTTGGTACCCTCCTAGAGACCTGTCAGTTGGTATAGCCAGCTAACTGATGTGGTCTCCAAACCATGATTGGGGAAGAGAAAATACAGTCTGACAGTTTAGTAACTCTTGGATAGGATCCTGCTTGCCCTTGTTATTTGTGATGTAGATGCATAGTCCTGAGTCAGAGTCTTAACTGTGAAGGCGCCACTGCCGGTTCCTTTGGAAACCGAATACCTGTTGTCTCTAGGTCATTCCCTGCACACAGTGATCATAGTCATGATAATAATATACAAAATATTAATATGTTACATGACTGGTAAAGAAGGTCTTTCGGAGCCTTTACTAGGAGGACCTTTTGAAGGAATTTTTGATGGATATCAGTCAGTAACCAAGAATATAATTGACAAAAAGCATCTGAAATGGAGATGCATGTTGAAGCTTCCCTACTATGTACATCACAGGTCTGAGATGTCATAAGCCTACACTCTCATTGAGAAAAACGAGACTGAGATTTTAAAGGACCCCGTCTTTCCTTTGGATCCTTTTAAGAATTCAGTGGACAAGACCGGGTTCCTGTGTCACTTTGGGAGTAAGAAGACCATATTTCTATATGACAGCAAATCATTAGCAAAATCATAGTTGGACAGTATCTTTCACCTTGAACTCTTCATCCAATTTCATCGATGCTCGCATTCTATTTCAATTAACCAGAAATGTTAGTGTTGGGAAAGGCCACTCAATTTGTATCAATTCTGTTTATATAAATTTATATACAACTGTGATTGAAAAGTAGATTATTTATCCTGCTCATCTCACTTTTTCCTGCATATGCATAGCTATGAGTGAGTATATGGTCTGATAGAAAAATCCAGACAGCAGCGTGCAGACTCTCTCTGTATACGAATTACTTGGAGGTGACTCCTTTAGCCATAAGACCTGGTTAATTTCAAAGAGGGTTATCTTTCGGACCCCTCTTTAAATTTAAAACTCCAACTCTTAAGCCTACTGAGTAAAAGTAAATTGGAATACATCTGCAGCAGAAGGTTTGGTGGCTGTCATTGACAGAATAGGAAAAGGACTTTCAGGTTCAAAGTCAGATGGTATTGTTGTGGACGGGAGACAGGGAGATCGATTTTTAAAATGCTTGTGAAGCATACCCAGGGCGTGAGAGAAAAGATACTTGATGTTTACTTGACGTTTTGGGTTAAATTCATGTAAGAGAGTACCGTCTTCTTTTCTCAGCCCCAAATTTCTGCAGACCTACATCCATAATGCAGACATTACGTTTTTACGCTGTGAGTCAGTCACTAAGCCATTAATACATTAAACTTTGAACAGCTTTAGTTTGTAAAGGAAGAACCAATCCGTCATGGTACTGTTGGAACAAAATTTTTTAAAAGAAATGAAAACTAAAGTGGTGTTTATTCCCTTTAACCAAGTTACTTAGATGGACAATCAATATAAATAAGAACCAATAGTTTTGATTTTTACAAAATTTCCTAAGGTTAAATACTGGTTTGGGGATCCAGAGCAATTGTCTATTCAGATAAGGATTTGTTTTGCTGTTTTAGTCTCACAGCTAACATTTTCCATATTCCATCCTTAAAATCTGGGTCATTGTGCATTTTCTGCTTTTATAGGATGTATAAATAATCATTTTCATGCGTGTAGAACCTTATATTTTTATTGTCACTCTCAGTCCTGGGAGCTGAAGCTAGGTCCTCAGGTGTGTTAGGTAAGCACTCTACTGCTGAAATGTTAACTCATTAAGTATGGGATTTGAAATTTTCTCAGGCTTTGCTTTGGTTTGGTTTGATAGGATGTTATTAAATTGCTTAAGCTACTCTTGAAATTTTGATCCTGCTGTCTTCACTTCTTCAGGAGGCGTGGGTCTCAGAAGCTAGAGGATTAGGCTGCCCAGGCCAGGTGCCTCCTTCCTAGCTCATGTTACTGTTGAGCAAATTCTATCAAGGTCAGCAGAAGGAAACTGCACTGTGGCCACCAGCTTAGTTAGACATGTTGTCCAGTACTGTAACATAGACAGTGAGGTAATTGTGCTTTCATAGATAAGACAGTTGGTCCCACCGAATGGTTACTGTGTAAGTTAGCTATTCTGAAAAGGGCTTTGTTCTGATGTGTTGATTCGAGCCAGATTTGATTCACTTTGTGAGCTGCAAAATTTCATCTACAGTTTTGGGTGGCAGCATTTCTGAATTCATTCCAGAGGCAGGGAATATGGGTGAGAGGCACGGCTCTGCCAGAAGATGTTCCCGAGGTGAAGATTTCCCAGCCAGGGAAGCCTGTGGCTCATCCATTGGCTGAGGAAGACCTTTGCTAATGTCTTCCTTTTAAAACCAAATTTCATTGTGTAAAGTCTGAATTGGTTCTTCAGCTTCTCTAGTTATTTTTTTCTACCCCACCCTCAGAAGGAGGAAAGAGGTCCTCCTGTGTTATTTAAGCATTTGTAGAGTTGGTGTTAGGTACTTTTGACTTAACATTTTAGAAAAATATATTGTGTCAGAATTCAAAATTTAGTAGATTTTTTTTTATCTTTTGTTACTAGACACTTGGTGAATGCTAGTTAATTGTAACAATTCTTTGATAATGAGATTAATAGCAGCAGCTCTTTAGCTGGCTTGTGTTTGCACTTAGCCAACATTTGCTAGTATGCTGATAGGAATAAATTAGCTTGGAAATGATTAATCTTCCCTATTCCTTTGACACTCTCATGCTTAGTACTGTGCTCCAGACTGCTCACTGGGTTCATAACTATCTTTTTCATCAGATATTCAGGATATTTCAGACTAATACTGAGCGTCATTGGCTTTTACATGTGTGTTAAATCCTCGTATATAGGCCATATTTAATAGTGGTAGTATGTTCAGCTATTGGTTAAGCTTATTGTATCCACACTTAACTTTGCTTAAACATCTCATTTAACACTGAAACCCAACTGCCCCAACAGTTGACTCTACTGAGCTAAGAATAGTCATTGCTGTCTATTGTTGCATTTTGGAGTGAATACAGCAAATCCTGTCCTTAACCTCCGCCTAACATGGTATACATGTTGTAGCTAGGAATTCATCGCTGGATGCCATTTAAAGCCCTTCCACTTCTTGCCTCCCTAATTCTTTTTTTTTAAAGATGTCTTTTGCTTATACTACCCCCAAATGCATGTGTTTGTGTCCATGTGTGTGTATTTTTTCTTACCTATAGAAATATTGAAAAATTAGATGCAAATAATATGAGGCTTCATCTGTACCAGAATTTAGTCCTTAAAATAGAACATTTGTTCTGTTTTGGCAAAATGGTTGCATCAAGAAGGCCAGAGTAAGAATGCCACATGTGTTTGTTACCTTGGAGTTGTCATCAGGAAGGGAGAAGTTCTGAGACCTTGCTCAGTTGTGACCTGCATTGCTTGGCTAGGGAAGCTTGCATGGCCTGTCCACTCAACTACTGTTTGAGCCCCTTTGTGATTTAGCCTCGGAGTCTTGTGCTGTAACTCCTTGCTGGCTTGTAATTAATGTGGTAAGGCAGAAAGGAATTTACTCTGCCTTAATAACCTCCTTTTTAAAAGTGTACTTATTGTTTTTCTCAGATGTATCTCAGCCAGCGTTATCAGTAACTAGCTAAATGTTCCAGGCTAAGATGTTAGTGAATGCCTCTCAATTAGTCCTCTCTCCTAGCACCTTGTTTGGATTATTGTTTTTCTGTTGTTTTGAAATGAGAAGACTTCACTGGGAAAGGTCTTATATTTTCCTCCACTTAACCTTAGCCAGAAATATAAGAAATGATTGATATATTGCCTGTATTTAATTTCTTTTATCCTTTATGTTAAGATAGCATTTCATGTGCCCCAGACTGGCCTGGTACTCAATATATGTCCAGAGATTACCTTCAATCATGATCCCTCTGTCTTGACCTCCCAAGTGCTGGGTTTGTAAGTGTAGGCCATCACACAGCTGCCCATTGTTTGATAATCTAAGTTTTGTTGGGATATAGGTGTTTTAACACTGTTTGAATTGAAGAAGTAATTTATTTTATTTTTTCCATCTCTTAGTAGGATGCCATTATGAAGTGTAATATGCAGTATCATGTTATTACAAAGTATAATACTTGCCACTCACTTGAATTAAATTAGTTATTGAAGCATTTAATTGCGGTGCACCTCACAGAACAGTTTGAAATCCTTGACACAGTGTCTATGAGGTATGTTCAACCTTCTAGTTAAGAAGCCTCTGTCTAGTAACTGGCTTAGATTCTTTAATTGCTTACTTGTATTAAATCATTTACTCTGTCTTGAACGCAGTTTAAATCATGCATAAGTCCTCTGCCATGTACTACCACATGAAAGTTGAATGAAATATTCCTACAGCCGCATAACAATGTTGTATTTTTTGTTTCAGGTAACTCAGGAAACTTAAAAAGTTATGAGGTCTTACCCAAAAGGTGCATACATGAACTCTGTCAGAAAAGGTCTTTGGTTTATTTCCTGTATTTAAAGTTTCTGTGTTTCTATGAAGAACTAGAGCCGTTGAAGTGGTTCAGCGGGTAAAGGTGCTGGCTGCCGAGCCTCAGGACCTGCTTTGGGTCTCTGGGCCTCACATGGTAGAAGAGGACTGACTGCTGAGAACTGCCCCCACCTACATACATGCATAGATACACATGCATACATGTATCCATATATCATGCATATAAAATGATAAAGAATTAATAGGAGATCCTGGGGTAGAATTTTTTGAGATCAGTCTCATTAGCTCCTGCTGCTCCCTAGCTTGCTGCATACCAGGGCTGACCTTGAGCTCCCCTCTTCCTCCTCCGTCTCCCCCCAGTGTTGGGATTATAGGCCTGTTCCATCCGGGCCTGGCAACTGTTTGTGTTCCACAAAAGAGAAAAGCAGATTAGAAGATTTAGAAATGGAGAAATAGTAACAAATTCACCAGTTGGTGGATGCCATTTTATCTGGCTGTTATTTGCCATCCTTTCTACACCGGTGACCGATGTCATCCTGAGCTCTGTTGTTTTGATCCTCATTCACTTGAGTGGGTAGTAGTTTTAAGGGGGAGGGCAGGTTGGGTAAATTATTTAAAAGTCAAGTGCATTTACACTAACAACAACAAAAAACATGTTAGGGCTGGGCAGGTGGCTTGGCGGGTAAAGGACTTACTAAGTCATTTTAAGGAGAGATTTCATGTCCACAGTGCCCGCATGAAGCTGAGAGCACTGTAGGTCTTTAATTTTGCTGTTCCTTCTACAAGATGGGAGGCAGAGGCAGAAGAACACCCACCCTAGGCCGCCTGCAGAACAGTGAGAAGCCTTGGCGTAAACAATCCGAGGTCATCTATTTATACAGGTCCTTCCACAGGCTCTGTGGCATCCAGTGCCTGCCTCGCCCTTCTTCCCACCGTCTACCACCAACACACACACCATTTAAAAGAAGGCAGATCAGTTCATAGAAACGTAAAACCAAATATTTTGCCAGGTATGGTGGCCATGCCATTAATCCCAGCATTGAAGAGGCAGAGGCAGGCGGATCTCTGTGAGTTGGAGGCCAGCCTGGTCTACATAACGAGTCCCAGGGCTACATAGTGAGACCCTGTCTTCAAAAATCAGACAAAAAACCAAGCAAACCCCAAAGAACTGTATGAACAAATGTCTCAATTACAAATGCTTTCAGCTACAAGTTTTAGGCAAAATGATATAAAACAACAGGATTTATTTTACATTCTTTATGTATTTACGTGTTTACCTATTTATTTTAAGAGCAGCAATCCAGGTGAGTAGATGTTGCTTTTCCTGCAGAGGCTCAACATTGTCTGTCAGGTTCTTTGACCCAGCAATTGCTCTCATTTTGGCGTAAGGCAAATCCTTTGCCTATCTGTTCAGGTATCCGATTCCAGGACAAGGATGAAAGAATGGGGAATGAAACTTTGGACCAAGAGATAAACGATTTCCTAAAGGCCTCCAGCATATATCTCCTGTGCACTCACTGACCACAGCCTGTTGTTGCTACAACCTAAAGGAAAACGGGGTATCAGGGACTTTTGGTGTATGAAGCCAAGGGATAGGGGATGGAACATGACCTAGGGGTAACTTTGAGTAATGTTAGCCAGATGACTCATTCAAACCATGTTAGCTTTAAATTTTACTCACATTCTTAGAAATTCAGTGCTTTCCCCAATGCCCACCTGGTACATTAGCAGTTTACCTTTCCCACACCAGCTTTTCATCTGGGTAATTAGCAAATTTCAAGTTACCAGGCAAAGGAAATCCTCAAAGGCTGATGGGCATCTCCAGAAAGCTACCTAGCCAGCAATCTAATACCTTTTCTGCAGTTTCTCACTGTGACATAGTCTGTAAAATTTGATGATTATACTGTGATCTGCCTTAATCCTGAAAATATTTAAGAATCTGTTTATATGACTGCATTCAATAATATGGGTCTGTAGGGCATGGTGATGCACACCTATCAGCCTAGTGTTCAAGAGGCTAAGGTAGAAGGGTTATGAGTTTGAGGCCTGCCTGAGCTCCATGACAAGACAGTAACTTATCGAATAAATAAATAAGTAAATGAGTGAATAATCCTCGATATTAGGATTGCTTTTAAGAAGAGTTGGAGGCTTGCTCTGCTGCCTGACAAAACAGAGTAAGCGATTGCTCCTTAGAGGGAAGCCCTATAAAATTTATCACCATAGAAAATGATGTTATCCACTTCTAAAGCACAGGATGTTGCCAGCGTCTGTGCAGTGATCACTACCTGCAGGGTGACTCATCTTTCCAGTGACACATCTTGGACTTAAGAGTTGTGATGAATTATTCTCGCAGATAGGAAAGCCTAAGGAGAATTCCACAGGGAGGAAATGAAAGCAAGTGTTACTAAACCTTTCACCTTAACTTAAAGATTCAGTTTGACTGATGATGCCAAACGTTCTCAGCCATATTGGTGTTGTGTTAATTTTAATCTCTGTGTTAATTCTTTACGCCCATTTTACTTTACCTATCTGGTTCCCTTATGGGAGTGGCTTTGGGGGAGGGGGCAAGAGTCCCAGTTAATGACCACATAAGTTTCTAAACTCTTAGTCATACAGTAACATGGGATTACTATAGGAAGATAAAACAAAAAGATAAGTTACTGCTTGTCATAATCTGTCAGCATAGTTAACAGAACAAGGCAGCATGCGGCACAATCACGTGAAAGTGGTCAGGTAAATCACAGCTCTAGTATGATAATGGTGTTTGAGAAACCGAAGGAGCAGGAAAAATTGACCTATGGGTAATCAAAGAAGGTCATAAGAATTTAGGCATTATGAATAATCACTTAACTGCAATGAATGGCAAGCTACCAACTTGTACCTCCTGGCCCATGACTTTCCTTTATAAATAAAGTTTTATTTGAACACAACTATTCCCTTTGATTTTCATGTTACTTTCTTACCGTAATATCAGAGTTAAATGAGGGATGTCCACACGTCTAAGGTGTTTCATATCTGCTCCTTTTAGCAAGTCTGCCATCCTCCGAATACATCAACTCTGTAGTCAGACAAAATGGGCTTTTTTATTACATTGTTATTGCTATATGATAATATCTTAATCAGTTTCTTTAAATCTTAGTATGGGGTGTATAATGGCTCAGCCTGTTTATTTTGATATAATATTTTACTGCACATAGCAGTAATTAATGCTCATTAAGCATTGCTTATTCAATTTCAAAGTTTATTTTGATTTATTATTTTAAGTGAAATCTCATTTAAAAACTCTAAAATTTAAAACTCTTAAATTAATTCCTCCTATGTCCTGGAAAAATGATCAGGAAAGTAGAAATGATATACTTTACCTGTGAAAAATTTGAAGAGCTGCATAAAATATTATATAGATATAAAATGAATTTAAGAGTCACAAACTAAATATATGAAGTCAATCTATACTTAGGATACAGTTAAGGTTAAATAATGTATTGTTTTAGGAAACCATGAGAATCAATTTTTAAAGAATAAAAATACTTTCTTAGAAACAAGAGGAAAATGGTTTAAATGGAATCATAATGATACCAGTATTACAAAAATAAAGGTTAATATGAGGTGCTGTGACTATAGAGCAACAGATTACATTGCCTTAATGTAATAGGCCAATCGTTAAAGAAAAAATGAAAACTCAGAACTAGAAAATCTGAATACAGACTCAAAAAGCAAAGATCTACAAGCAAGCAATATTGAAAAATAATGTGCTGTAACAAAGTGAAATTTAATCCAGATTATTGTAACGTAAAATTAAACCACAATCACACAGTAAAGATATTTACAGCCTGAATGCCTGTGGAGGCTGTGTCAGGCAACAACAGTTGCAAAAAGAAAAAGAAAACCATAATGCTTTCATAGTGGCATTTAGCAAACTAAGATAATTTTCTCAACTTTTTTATCTTTTACTTTATTATAAAAAACTAACTTTGAAATATGTTTAAAAAGTCACACCAAAATTATCCAGAACCAAATACTATATAACTTGGCAAACTTGTAAGCAGATACAATTGGAAATCAAAAGGGAAGCTGTAAAGTTTCACATTAAATTTACGTGTGTACCTACCACCAAAAGAAAAAAAAAACATGCTGGAATTAAAACTAGAAAAGCATACAGACTCTCATCCTTGTACATTGCCTGCACTCCTTCCACAATTTCTTATATGTGCTTCTCTTCATGGTACAATGTACACATATGTATATTCATTTACATATATTATTACCTATGTTCAGATGTCCCATATGAGATGGACTCATCAGGTTTCTACAGAATTCTACAAATTTCAGTGCTAAAATTTTATGTAATTCTGCAGAACTAAATGTAGTTTCTTAGTATCTGGAATAAGAGAAGAATATAGAACCTCTCAATTATGTTCACTCCTGTAATGAAGAAACTGGAAAAGGCAAATAGAAAATTTCTTGATTAGAAACAAATAATGAAACCTGTACTGACAGTTGAAATGAATTTTATATACACAAAACTCTAATGAACACACACAGAGAGTGCGGGACCTTGGAATACATAAGTCTAAATGGAAGGTGTCCATCAAATCCTCACAGAGTTCAGGGAATTCCCAAGAAGAGGAGGCAGAAAAAAAGTGTAAGAGTCAGAGAGGATGGAGGACATCAGAAGAACAAGGCCTTCTGAATCCACTAAACAGCATACACATAAACTCACCGAGACTGATACACAAGTACGGGGCCTGCACGAGTCTGCACCAGGGCCTCTCTGTATATGTAATGAATTTCAGTTTAGTATTTTTATGGAACTCCTAAGTGTGTGTATGAGCGAGTTTCTGATTCTTGAGCCTACCCTGGGCCCTTCTATTGGTTTGCCTTGTTATTTTTATTTTATATTTTATTTTCTAATGTTTTGTTGTTATCTCTTAGAAGCCTGTTTTTTTTTCCTAATGTGAGACAAAAGGGAGTGGATCATGATGGGGGGGTGGGGAGGAACTTGGGGGAGTAGAGGGAGGGAAACTTAATCAGGATGTATGGTATGAGAAAAAAATCTATTTTCAACAATTGGAAAAGATAGAAAACATTATTGGAAATTTGAGAAATCAAACGGGAAATCAAAATGAGAAACTGACAATAGAATAGCTTAAATGAAAAGGATCAGTAACAATCATTGACTAAATTGAAAACTCTGTGTTCTGGCCTCGAAATTCTAGGCTTCACACACCCACTTTGATAAACACTGTAATCATTTTTCAGAACCACAAAATTAGCATGTGACCCCAGTAATAACACTGGACCTGTGTACTCAAGAGGATTTGGGAAACAAGTCCACATAAAAGTTGACTCATGGGCAAATTAAATAGATTTCTATACAGTGGAGTGTTATTTGACCATAAGAATGAGTGAAGTGTTGGCAGATGCTAACATCAGTAACCATTCAGAACATGTCCACCAAACTGTGAGATACAATAGACCAATTTTACAGGGAATCTCTAAAAAAGGCAAATCCATAAAAACACATAATTAGTGATTGGTCAGGGGCATGGAAATTGACTGTTACTAGCGTGTTCCTTTACATTGTAAAGGAATGCCCAAAACAGAAGAGATAATGATGTTTTCTTAATTTCATGAACCTGTCTTTTAAAACTGGTTTTATTATAAAAAACATTTTGATGTGGAGAATGAATGTGAAAGACAATTGATGCTACCCTCTGGCTTCTGTATGCACACATGCACATTCATGTAAACATGTACAGCACATGTGTGTACACACAAAATGGAGTCAGGAAGGAGAGAGCAGTGGACATTGTTGCCCCTGTTCACTTTCTCCCGCCTTGTGCTGGCCCCCAGCCCGTAGGTTCCTTCTGACTACATTTAGTTTGAGTCTTCCCACTTTAACGAAGACGGCTTCAAAACTTTCTTATAAACATGGCGACAGAGCTTGTCAAATTGATGGTCCTAAACCATCACAATAAGTTTGCCATGCCCTGCCCTACTGCACTCAGTGACAGGAGGCCTTAATAGTACAGTCCGCAGGGAATCACAAAGGACTTTGTTTATGATTCCTAATCCCTTAGCTCAGCATACCTAAGAACAAAAGTAAAATTTTCTCTGTTGTGAAAGGACAATGCATAGCACCACAGAAAATAAGAAATAATACTTTGTTGCCCACATAATCAGGAATTCAAGATTAAAGTGGTGAAATAAGATACAAATGTTTGCCGCTGTTTTGTTTAAAGGCACTTAGATCTTAGAAATAATTGGGTTTTTTGTTGTTTTCTTTTGTGGTTTTTGGGTGTTTTGTGTTTTGACATAGGGTTTCTCTGTGTAACAGCCCTGGCTATCCTGGAACTTACTCTGTAGACCAGTCTAGCTTCCAACTCACAGAGATCCTCCTGTCTCTGCCTCCCGAGTGCTCACTTACACTGTGCCACCATGTACACCTGCAGACAAATTATTATTGTATCAAATTGTTATAGTGTCAAAAACCAGGAACTAACACTGGGATATTGAAAGGAAAAAAAATTAATAACAACCTGGCTCTATTTTCAGTTTCTTACAGTAGGAGAAGGAAAACTCAGATTAAAGGTAGTCTCTTTACCATGGGAGCAAGCAACTAAAAATGGAGTTTGGGAGTTATTTTTATGATCATGGGAAGGGTATATGTTATGGGTTTATGGTCAGATAGTTAACATACCACAAAACATGGTCAGTCAATTCTCAGAGCAATGGAAACACGTTACAATGTGTAATCTACAAGATTATTGAGGGAGAACCACTCAAAGGGGTGTCCTCTAGCTAAGGACATAAGCAAAGTCTAACTTTTTTTTTTAACTAAAAAGAAAAATGGAGTCAGCTGTTCCCTAAAACAAATAAAAAACAAACTGCTACTATCTTGCTTTTAATGGGATTAGAAATTAAATTTGATGTCAAATAAATAATTATTATGAAATGGGGTATCTTGTGGTAGAAAGAAAAACAATAATGTGAGAATGTGCCTGGTCAGTTATACCAGATCAGTAGAAAAGAGGAGAAAATATAAAAAATATTAAATTCTTTTTTAAAATAATTTAGTGTGTGGGCATAGGCGTGTGTGTGTGTGAGTGTGTGTGTGTGTGAGAGAGGCATGCTTGCCAGTGTCTGCAGAGACCAGGAGAGGGTATCAGAGCCTCTGCAGCTAGCGTTCTTAGCTTTTGTGAACTACCCCATGTGGGTGCTATGAGCAGAAGTGGGGAACTCTCGAAGGGCAGCAAGCATTCTTAGCCTCTGGGTCATTTCTACAGCCCCCTGATTAAATGCTTTTCTACCAATGATTAAGTCAATAAATGCTTTTCACATTCGTAGAAGATAAGATTAAAAACAAAGAATAAGAATATGATCAAAGCAGAATAAAAAGAAGCGTTAAGCCAGTGTCAGGCTTACAAACAAGTTATTACAACTATGCATGGTTGAGGCCCTTCCTAATTTTAAATACACGGTTTTGCTTTGTAGTATGGGCTATAGTTGAACATACGATCCTCCTGTCTCAGCTTCTGGAACGTTGTGATTACAGACGTACACAAGTGCCTAGCCTTAGTTTGTTGTTGGAAGTTCAAAAACTCAGCATTTATTTTATCTTCCAATGAGACTGGGTATCACATCCCAGACTGGTGTCTGACTGAACATGACCTTGAACTTCTTATCTTACTGCCTTTTGACTCACGCTGGAATTCCAAGTATGTGCTGCCAGATCCATTAATAGAAGCTAGGTATTCCATCCAGGACTTTGCGCCTGCTAGGTTAGCACCCTAGAATCCTGCTATGCAGGTTTAAAGAGACAACATGAAATAAAGCAATACCAGGGGAAGGAAAGGGAATGCAAAGAAGTCATATATAAAGGTTAATTTCAAATTTTATATAAGACAAGGCAGAATTCAAGACAAAAAGGTTGAGTTTCATGAAGAGAGTCATTCGTAGCGGTGAAGGTGTATTACAGTGTGAAGACACCATAACATTGAGCCTGTTTGTACAGCCACTAAAGAATTAAAGCCTGAAACAACTTGAAAAATAAGCATGACCACGGATGTTGGTGTCAGATCTGCATTTGGACAGGTGGAAGTAAATGAGCCCACAAAGAGACTGCATCGTTCAGAATGAAGACGAGAACACGAGCTAGTGATGAGGCAGAGGAGGAAACATTGTGGTAAAAGTGATGTTGGTCCAAGGAAAATGTGGAATGAGGATTCAGCAACATTTGTCTTTACATCACTACAGAGCAGGAACCCACGGGTGAAGTGTGTGTGGCTCCTGTTTGCCACCTTCTCCACCACGCTCTGGTCTTACACTCAGCAGGTGCCTTGCCTATGAGTTTCATTGCCGATGGGCTAGGAAAAGCTGAGGAAGCATGGCCGTGGACGTTGTGAATGAGCAACGAGTGTAGAAAAATTTGTAATTCCAAGTGGAGAAGACGATAAATGTGCTGTTTGGTGAGTTTTGCCCATAAAAACATGTTTATAAATTTAGATAAAAAAAGGGGACAGTTATGAAACTGAACCTTTGAAGCACTGAGACCTTTCTGTCTTGAAAGGACAGTTCATCTGTCTGACAAAATAATGCTGCCTTGAGCATTTTTTTCAGCACGGTTTTAAAATTACCACTTGCTTTTTGATTAAAGATGTCAATCTCGATTGAAATACCGAGCTTCATTTTCTCTCATTGTGTTTGTGTGTATTTAGTACTCTAATTCATCCTGTTTGGAAATTTCCATATTTTGGTTTTGAATGCCTCTTCGCGTCCACAAAGCTTATTAAGACACCTGTGCTTCTCACGCTCAGAGTCATGCATCCAGTTCCCTAGCTGGCATGAATAATTATCACTGGAAATCATTTCTCATATGCAATGTGCCATGGTAATTGCTCTCTTTGCATTGTTACCCTGTGCTCTGCTGGGGCTGTAGCCCAATGGAAGAGAACACGCCCAACATCCACAAAGCCCAAGGTTTGATCCCCAGCAGCAACAACACACACACTGAATATTTTAAGTGTTTTACCTCTTTTCCTTCTCATCAGCAAGACTTGGTAATCAAATCCCTTAGCAAGATCTTATCAGTCCGCTGGATATGGAATTCCCACGCAACAGTAGCCGGCGACACAGGATTAGCTCCTGAATCTAGCCAATGCGCGTGATGAAGTGTTCACCGTATTCATTAGCTCGTGCCTTTAGCCAGTTTCAGAAACTATTAAATTTAAGCAATGCGTCTACTTTTCTGTTCCTTGCTACTTAATCTGTGTGTTCAGACAAGTTAACAATGATTCAGTAATAGAAAGCAAAAGAAAAGAAGTGGAGAACTCTACGGAATTAGGAAAAGCAAACATACAGTGTTCTGATAGAAGTTCCCAGACAGGCATGGGGCAAGCGTGGTGCTCTGAGTGAGCTGGACGAATGCGGGACAGTCCTCCTGAATTCAAATGATGATCTTCATGTTTGAGGAAGAGCATAAATTCTTGTCTTTCCATTGAGGTGGGTGGGTGATGACACTGTCTCTTCAGGTTTCATACAACTTGTTTTGACAGAAAAAATAGTTGATGCTTAAGAAGTAAAATTACAGCTATTGGCAAAACAGCCACCCGGAGTGACTTATTTTCGGAGAAAGGAAACCAAAACTGAAGTTTTGCTTCCTCTCTGCAGCTGCATTTACTGTTTTTCCAGCTATGAAAACAGTTCATGCAGAAATGCTTGAGATGGGCACATGAACACATTAGACATTATATAAGCTTTCTCCTTTCGCACTTGAGCTCAGGAGGCTGAAGTTATTTCAGCCATGCGGTTTGACACAAGAACAAAATGAATATAAGGAAAATTAATGAAGCAGATGAGGCAACATGGAACAACGGGGTTATGCGCATGTTTTCTTGATACTTGTTTCTATGCTATGTGGAAGCAGTTCTTAGTATGGGAGCAGACAGTGAGAGGTTTTGGGGAGGCAGTAGGTACTGTATAGGGGGAAATTCAGAAAACAACCCTGTTTTTCAAGACAGTCCCTTTTCTATGACTTAAGCACCATGCCAATTTCTATACACCCAACTGTTACCCTCTTGGTTTTTATAATGTCCTTTGGGTCAATTATTAGAGCAATTCCAATTGTTATATTGACGGTAACAGGAAAAAGTTGCCTAGGTTACCTCTGGGATCAACCTACACTATCAAGTTTGTGATTGATTTAGCCATGACAGGTCCTGCAATCGGACCATTCTTTCAATAGTAACTAAAGTCCTTTGTGTGTATCTGTAAACTGTGCAGATACAGCAGTGTTTGTGTCCAAGAGCTTATAATGGACAACTATGCATTCTCTTGCATTCTTAAAATTAGAAAAGTTTGAGAGCTTATTATAAATCTATGCCATTTAAAATACTAATAAAATCAATGGAGAAGAATTATAACTTCAGGGGAAAGGGTTCAGTTACTGAAGTCCCTTTTTGTGTTTTGCAAGCATGAGGACACGAATTCAGTTCCTAACCCCATATGAAAACCAGGCATGGCAGCATGGGCCTGCAGTCTCAGTACTGAGGAGGAAGAAGAGATGGAAAGCAAGACCTGAGACTTGTTGACCAGCTAATCTTATTGAATCAGTAAACACCAGATGCACTGAGATGTGCTGTTGCAAAATAGTAATAATAATAATAATAATAATGTGGAGGGTTATTGAGGGAAACACCTGATGTTGATCTTTGGTCTTCCCAAGCACTAGCACACATGCACATGAACCTGTCCATGCATGTACTTATGTACACATGAACCTATGCACACACACATACACACAATTCTAGTGTGTGGTTCAGACAGAACTAAGCAATATTAAAACACAGCAAGGTTATTTTTAATCTGATGCTCAGACTGGCAGCTTGGTAAGTGAAACCTGCCTCACCTCATTAAGCACGCTTTGCAGAGTTTCTGTTTCAGAGAAAGCACTGTCTCTAGGTAACATATCCCCTGTCCAGGGCCACAGACCCTGCTGATGTGCTATGGTGACTCTAAGACACTTTCAACTTCTGAGTTTTTCAGGCTTTTGAGCCTACTAGGACATTTAAGATACCCCACACTAGTCAGGGGTTTGTGGTTATGAGAAACGCCTGATAGAAACAGTTTCCATGGAGGGAAGGTTTATTTGAACTCAAGTTTTAAGGCTTCAGTGGTCCAAAGTCAGCAGGCTTCATAGCTTTGGGACTGAGTCAAGGCAGAATTAATGACTGGGGGAGATGGGACAGTGGGTGCTGACCTCGTGGAGGTCCTGTAATGGCTCCTGGTAACTATCAGTTTGACAGAATAGAGGACTAACAAGGAGATGGACCACTGGGCATGCCTTGATTGAGTTAATTGAGATAGGAAGCCCTGCCCACTATGAGAGACACCATTCCCTCAACAGGATCCTGGACTATATAACTGAGGAATAGGGACTGAGCAGCAGCTCACCTTCACTGTCCTGTCTTCCTGATTATGGATATGGCGTGACCACTTGTCTCAAGTTCATGCCGCCTTTATTTCCTCACCATGATAAACTGTACACTTGAACTGTAACCTAGAATAACCCTTTCTCCCTTAAGTTTGTCCTTCTCAAAGTATTTTGTTATAGGAACAGGAAAAGAAATTAAAGTGGAGGGGACTAAGGACACTAGGAGTTAGGGGAGGGGGCTGATGTATACCCCATCCTGACCTGTTTTCTCCAACTACAGCCCACCTGCTTGCTAATACCTCCCAATATCCCCAGTAAAGGCCAAATACGAAACACATGAATTTGGAGGACGTTTCATATTCAAAATGTAGCAATGCTGTTGAATTACTTACAAATGTTTTGAGAGTTCATATTTGGGTAGACTGAAGTAGACTTGTTATTAAGCACCCTGACTCAAATGTATCAGAAAAAAATTCTCAAAGCTTATTCTCCAGAACTAAGATTAAAGGTGGAACACCCAATCTTTTCTATTAATTTTCTCAAATGTTTTGCGCCTGTGAAAAAAAGAAGTAGGAAATTGGAGATTTCTATTAAGCCGTAAGGGAAATTGGAGATTTGTAAAGTTGCACGTATAAGCAATCGTTGAATTCATTTGTCAGGAAAGAATCAAGTTCATCAGATGTCAGAGCATTGTGCTAAACTGTTAGGTTCTCCATACCCTCCCTTTGCTTTTTGACAACGATTCTCAAAAGTCTTGGGTTTTCGTTCGGGGTGGGATGGGAGTGGATGTGTCCAGTGAGATGTGTACATTAGCAGAGCCTTGGTACTGTTTCTAAGTCTACCTCATCTCCATTCCCTACTACAGACTGGTTATTTTGAAGAATATATCATATTCCCTGAGTGTGGGCAAAGATTGGGAAGCATATGTCTAATTCTTGCTTAGAACCACTATCACTACACTCAAAGGGAACAGTGTGGATCAGAAACTCGGTGTTCAGCTGAAGGATGGAAATGGGAAAAACTGAAAGCATCTTGTAAGTGACGCCACTGTCTCTCTCCTGCTGAGAAATGGTGGTGTTTGATTGACTGTTTGAGCTATATTTGGACCTAATCCTCAGGACATCAAATATTTAATAAATCATGACTTTTTAAAGAGGAAGAATAAATTTGTTTCTCCTTTGAAGTCGTATAAAATTTTATTTCAAGTTCCCTTTTCAGAGTTTACATTTCTAATAATTACGATTTAAAAAGACAGAGACTACCCCATTTACCTTTGTTTTCATCCTGTTTGAGAATTTGGGATCACCACTACAATTTTCACATCAGTTAATTAGGCATGCAACCCAAGAGGGGAAAAAATGAATAAATGTTTTGAGTTACTGCAGGTTAACACAGATCCCCAAATGGATGAAATGAGAATATATCCACCAACTGAATCAAACATTATAACCAGACCATAGACAATAGAGATGCAACTTCAGTCACCGGAGTAGAGGGAAGTGGCCCTCAAAGACCTCTGCTGGTCCATAATTGTAAAATGCTTGCAGACATTTTGATTGTTTATGCAGCTAAAATACTTAAGCATCAATAAACACTCTGTTTTCTTCTCTGGGACAGATATTCTCCTACATTAGAGATCCCAGCATAAAGCTATGTTCTCTGACGTGTACAGAGGCTGTTCAAACTTGAATATTTTTAATAATCAACATAAAATGTCATTAAGGTTCATGACCCAGCTTTAAAGAAATCCACTATGCTGAACCTGTGTTTACACATCTGCTGAATGCTAGGAGTATCAATAATCAGGTAAATTCATTCAGGAAGAATCCACTTCTGGTAGAGCTCTGTTAAAAAAAATAAAAAATATATATATATAAAAAGATGTTCACTAAAACGCACCCATTATGTGCTAGATGCAGAGTAATTCACTTGTTGACTGCCACTCTATGGGGCTCTCAGATTTAACTAAATAAATCCCTTTTATTGTCTAAACCTTACAATGAATAGTATGTGCCCAATATAGAATCATGGGATTAAGTATTTGTCCAAGTCGTTCCCAACCTAGAATATTGCTTGATTCGGTATTGCCTAGAAGCACATTTCCTCTCCATATCACCTAGCTCTCCTAGTTTGCTTTCTGTTGCTCTGATAAACACCACAGCCAAAAGCAACTTTGGGAGGATAGGATTTATTTCAACTTACAATTCCCTATCACAGTCATCATTAAGGGACACCAAGGAAGGAACCCAAACAGAAATTGAAGCAAAGGTCGTGAAGAAATATTGCATGCTATCTTACTCCCTGACCATGAAGGAATATTGCATACTAGCTTGCTCCCTGACCATGAAAAAATATTGCATATTGCATACAGGCTTTCTTCCTGGCTCAAATTCAGCTTCTTTCCTATACAACCTAACCCTTCCTGCCTAGGGATGGTGACATCTACAGTGAGCAGTACCCTTCTAAATCAATTAGCAAGCAAGAAAATACCCTGAGACGTATACACAAGTCAATCTGTTGGAGGCAATTCCGCAGCTTCAGTTGCCTCTTCCCAGGTGTGTCAAGTTGACCACCTAAAGGAACTCCCATGCTAGCCACCTTTCTTATCTTGTAAGTTACTGCTTTTCTTCCTTTCCCTCTATCCACAACACCCGACAGTTGCCTCAGACAATAAATGAGGCATCTCACAGCCTGATCTGTAATTTCTAAAAACTTCATTCAACAATTTCAATTTCTTTTTGACTATGTCTAGTCAAAAAATCTCAGCAAGTCATGGGTCATAGCTCTCACTGTAAGCATGAACCCTTCAGTGCATGTCTGCACTGTGTAAGGTACGTAGAAATGGTACACTGTAATACAGGATATGTTTCAGTGTGACAGCTGTAAAAAAAAATCACTTTGAAAAAAAGGAGACTCCTTGAGAAACTATTGGAACTGTGATCACTGTAATCACACCCCCCCATTAATTTCAAATTTATGTTTATGGATAGCTAACCTTCATACCTGAAATAGGCAGGCAACCAAAGATGTTGGGAACATTGATTTCTTTTTTAGTCACAGAGCAAGGCTTGATTTTTGTTACTTAAAAAAAAAATCATACTTATTTTGCTTTCTAGCTCTGTGTTTCTTCAACACCCCCACAGTTGTTTGTGCTTTGCAAGAAGGAAAACACACATGATCCGGTCACAGACTCATTTTGTACA